AATTAGCTGAGGCTGGGAGGGTAGCCTGAGGCCAGGTGCTAGCAAGGGCGAGCTGGGCGCAGGCAGCGCTGCGGCACACCTGACCCCAGCGCCGCAGGGGCTCCACGGTTTTCATCTGCTATGGACAGAAGACCGACAGACAGACGGATGGACGGTCACGGGAGAGAGGGCAGGGTCCAGGCCCCAGACTGGGGTCCCTCCTGGGTTCTGAGGCAGGGCCAGGATGGCCCGGGGCGCTCATTCCCGTTATCACCACGCTCTCTCCAGGAGGAGGCCCTTGAGCCTCTGCCCTTGGTGTGTGCAACGTGCTGACAGCCCGGGGTGGGAGCCGGGGGGCTTGCACACTCGCACACTCACGGGGAGGAGGGGCTGGGCTGGGCTGAGAGCTGGCTGCCTGGGAGTCTGGCCAGGCAGCTGAGGGTTTTCAGATCACAGGCGAGGGAGGAACCGAGAATGCAAACATGTGCAGGAGTCGTGAGCGGCTACGGGTTATCGAGCGCGGTTTCACTGGGACTCTGCCCAAGGGGGACGGGGAGGGGGGGTGGGGGGGCTGGCAGCGGAGGGCCAGCCGGTGCGGAGAGGCAGCGGCGCCCCCTGCCGGGCACTGAGCAGCAGTGCGCGGAACGGGGAGTGAGGAGGGCAGAGTAGTCTGCGTTAAACATTAGCATCACACAGGGCTGAGAGCTTTCAGGTCACACCTGGCACGGTGACCAGGAAAATGAAGGAACATCTGGGAGCAGGGTCAACCCTGGAGGAGAGAGGCCACGCAGCACCTCTCCATGCACACCCACGTGTAGTACATGAGTCATAGCCCAGGGCACAAAAACAAGGCCAGGTGGGTGAGGGCACCCCAGAATCCTAGGGCGGGGGGGGCACTTAGGAATGAAGGAGGGGGTGAGGAGGGGGCGGCCCGGAGGGGCCCAAGGCACATGTGCATTGGCTGGTGTCACCACTGAGAGAAGAGTAAGTTCCACGCCAGGCGGTGCCAAGGAGTCGCTTCTCTGCTCCTGGCTGAGTCACAGCAAACACTTGGCAGCCTGGCTGCTCTCTTTGGCAGCAGACAGCTTGCCCACGTCTCAGGACAGCAGCTTGTGCTCGGGGAAGCAAACACGCAGGGTGTGATAGCAGGCGCACGCCTGTGATCCCAGCACTAGGGATGCTGAGGCAGGAGGAGCGCTGTGACTTGGAGGCAGCCTGGGCTACACTGTGAGTCCAAGGCCTGCCTGAACTATGTAGTGAGACCCTGTCTTAAAAAACAAAAAAGCAAATGCTCCTCAGCAGGAGGGTTGTAAAAGGTGCGGACACTCAGGGCGAGAGCATTGTTGGTTTAGAGCTGGGCCAGTGCATCGGGTCCCTGGGCATTTGATCAAAACTCCCAGGTGGAGCCAGTGGCTGTGGGGGGAAGCCAGAGCCTGTATTGCAGATTGCCTCTCAAGTGACCATAACGGGCTGGGGAGATGGCTCAGTGGAACAAGCGCTTGTCTGGCAAGTGCAGGGACCTGAGTTCAATCCCCGGTTCCAGCAAAAAAACCCAAAAAACAAATCAAGTGACCCTGGGTGTGAGTCTAGTGCCCAGGACATCCTGGTGTGGGATGCACAGATTTCCCTGGGATGTCACACGGGAGCAGTGATTCAGATTCCTAAAGCTCCCTAGTGCAGGTGACAAAAAGGGATCTAGGGCTCATCTTGCAGGAGAGGTGGGGAACACAAATCTCTTCCCCGACCCCAACATATAAGGTTCCATAATGAACACAGCTGGTAAAGGCTAATCAAAGTCCTCCTGGAAAGTCGTCCTGGGGGGCCTGGCCCTAGCTCAGGCCTTTAAGTGGCTGCTTCCACAAACCTGTCAGCCTCAGGTTGCTGGAGTTCAAACCTCACACCTCTCCAGCTGGCCAAAAGTGCCCTGAAGGCATTCGAGGAACAAAAAAAATAAAAAAAATAAAAACCTTATTCCATTTATGGTGCTGGTGAGATGGCTCAGTGGTCTAAAGCACCTACTTAGAACAAGCTGAGCAAAGCATGGGGACCGCGGTTCAATCCCCCAGCACCACATGCCAGCCAGCCCCGCCCCCTGGTGGGCTGAGCTGGCCACACACACACACACACACACACACACACACACACACAAATAAATAAAATTAAAAAAAAAAAAGAAAGTCGTCCTGGCCTGAGGAAGCAGCACGTGAGACCTTCTGTGGCTCCCTGGCTGGCGGGGACTGAACATGTCGAGGAACACACACAGACATAAGGAAGGGCCCAGGGTGGCCCTGTGAGCAGCCGGGAGAAACCTGAAGATGCTCCCTATACTGAGAAGTCTCTGTCACTTCTACCTGTGGGTCCCACAGTGGTATAAAGGATACACTTATTTATTAACTAGTTTATTTATGTATTTATGGGGTACCAGGGATTGAACTCAGGACCTTGCGCTTGCCAGGGAGAAGTCTCTGTCACTTCTACCTGTGGGTCCCACAGTGGTATAAAGGATACACTTATTTATTAACTAATTTATTTATTTATGTATTTATGGGGTACCAGGGATTGAACTCAGGACCTTGCGCTTGCCAGGCAGGCACTTCTGCAACTGAGCTACCTCCCTGGAAAAGAATAAACTGAATCTCTTCCATAGCACTGTGTTTCAAACGATGAAAGACAGCAATCAATGTGGGGAATGGCTATCAAAACATCCTATCAAGGAAGGCTTTTTTTTCTTGGTATAAATATTAGCTAGGTCAAGGGAAAAAAGGAATGCAGAGACAGTGGGGCATTCTGCAGTGGAAGGAGGAACACACAGACATAAGGCAGCCCTGTGAGCTGCAGCTCTGGGCCGCCACAGACGATTTAACTACTTCACTCCCAGGCCCTGAACCTCCCCATTTCAAAGTCAAATTATCATCTGTATTTTTCATTTTGAGACAAGGTCTCATAAAGTTGCTAAGTTACCCAGCGGGAGCTCAAACTTCCCATCCTCCTGCCTCAGCCTCCTAAGAATAGTGGGATCACAGGTGTGCATTCCATGTCTGGTTCAAAGTCCAAGTCGTTGCTGAGAAATCTGCGTGGCTATTCTGGCTCAGGTAGCATGAATCTCAGGGCAACAGGGCTGCGGGGAGGGGACCTCAGGGAAGGTAGAGAAAATCAACGAGATTCTTTCAAGTCTGTGATTCTCTGTGAGGCAGTGGTGACCCCTGGCTCGGCAGCTGAGACCCAGCTGGGGCAGAGAGGGAGGGAGGGAGGGAGGGAGGGAGGGAGGGAGGGGTTGTGTGGAGGAGGGGTCGCTACTGCTCTGCACGGAGCCCCACGGTCACTGTCACCAACACCAGGGTCATGGTGCCAGCCTCTCGTAGAGCCAGCCTTGCTCCCCGCTGTGGGTCAAGGGTCCCACGGAGTCCCCTGTGGGGAGGCCCCGCCGGAAGACGATGCGGTCGTGCAGGCGGTTCGTCTGGCCCTGCCAGAACTCTATCACCTGCGGGTACAGCACGTAGCCGCCCCTGCGAGAATGGGAGAATCGGAGGGTGATGCGCTCTCCCTCACCCGAGGTGCTCGGAAGCTCTCTCTGGAAACAGGGTCTCATAGGTAGCCCAGGCTGGCCTTGAAGCCATGCGGTCCTCCCGCTTTAGCCTGCCGAGGGCTGGGATGACAGGCATGCGCCACCACGCCCAACTCGGAAGCTTTGGCATTTGCCTGGCCAGGGTTCCCAGGAGGGGAGGATCTGTGACGCCAACCAGGTGCCTGGGTCAGGCGTCACTTACCAGTATTTTGGCTTGGGCACCTCCTGTTCCCGGTAGAGCTGCTCCAGTTCTTCATTTTTCTTTCTCAGATACTGTTTGGAGAGGGACATGAGATGGCCGGGATGAGCCCTGAGCGCGCGCACTGGGCTGCAGCTGCGCTGGGTCTCCGCAGGCGCAGGTGCAGGGCCCAGGAGCCGGGCCCAAACCCAGAGCTGCGCGCGCCACTCACCGCACGGTCCGGGATCACCGAGCTCTGCTGGCTCACCACCGCCCCGATCTGGCTGCTCTTGGGGCGGGAGTGGAAGTAGCTCTCGGCCTCGGCCTCCGGCAGCTTCTGCACGTGGCCCTCCACACGCACCTGCTGGGGCGGCCTGGTTGGGCGAGTGGAGCCGCCAGCCCTGGCCCTGGCCCTGGTCCTCCCCGCCAAGCCCGGCTCCAGCAAGCGCGGACCGAGGGCCAGCCTGGCAAGAGGTGTGCCACGTGTAGGCACAGTCCCTGGGCTTGGCATAAAGTCACCCCTGCCACCCCGCCCAGGCTGTGCCGGGTGCTCACTCACCTGACGGTGAAGGGGCTCCCAGTAGAAGACAAGGGAGGCAAAGGGATTCGCATTCTGGAAATGACAGGGAAGCCAGAGGCAGCCATGAGGCCAGGTAGCTGGCACTGGGCACTCAGGAAGGACGGAGGCCGCAGGCTCAGGCCCTGGAGATGCGTTGACTACTGTTGCACCTCAATAAACCCTTAAAACACACAGCGCACAGTGGCGCACACCTGTCATCTCAGCACTGGGGAGACTGAGGCAGGAGGATCGCCATAAGCTGGCGGCCAGCCTGGAATACATAGTGAGACTATCTTTAAAAATAAAACAGAGGGCTGGTGAGATGGCTTAGTGGTCTAAAGCACCTACTTACAACAAGCTAAACTAAGCAAAGCACAGGGAC